ACATCACTAGTGCTCAGGCTGTGAAACTGTGATAAACCATTAAAAGCAATGGATAATACTGCAGTATAATTCGATTAAAACAAATTAAAGACTGCAGAAAACAAAATGAGTATATTTTCACCTTTTTACTGAGATAAAATTCAACATTATAAAATGTGCGATTTGGTTTTTAGCATATTCACAAAGTTGTGCAACTAACCCCATTATATAACTCCAGAATATTTTCGTTGTCCTAAAAAAATTCTCTTATTCATTACCATTCACTCCCGTTTCTCTGTTTCCCTGGAAATCACTAATCTACTTTCTGTCTCTATGATTAGAGATTAACTGTATTAGCCTATTCTGAACATGCCCTAAAGATGGGATCATACAACCACATGTGGTTTCCTGTGTCTGGTTTCTTTCATTTAGCATGTTTTCAAGGTTCATTCATGTTGTAGTATTAGTACTTCATTCCTTCCTTAATAATATTCTATTTTAGGGTATACCACATTTTGCTTATCTACTCATCACTTAATGCACATCTGGATTGTTTCTCCTTTGTGCTATTATTATTGCTAAAGCACATATGTAAGCATTTGTGTGGTCCTATGTTTTCAATTCTAGTACATATATACCTAGAAGTGTAATTGCTGAGTCATATGCTGTATTTAACTTTCTGAGGAACTTCTAAGCTGTTTTCTAAAGCTACTGTGGCATTTTATGTCTCTATCAACAATATAGCAGAGTTCCAATTTCTCCACATCCTAGCTAAGACTTGTCATCATCTGGCAAATTCTAATTTAAGAGATGAGAATTTTAATTGCAACCTAAAATGTCCGGAGGTAAAACATTTAAGTCTTTCTAAACAAGCTCTTTGAAGTAGTTAGTTCAATTAATTATTAGCTGAGAATTCCCCTTAAAGGAATGATAAAATAGTGAATGAAAAACAAATTAGGGACATCATTTGTCTTTGTGTTTGTGTGAGCTTTTACTTCTAATTTACAAATGTAGCCCTTCCTTTTCACAACAAGAAATGTGATTCAAAGTATTTATAACATTATACTTTATGAGAGATTTTGTTTCCTTGTTTTCTCTCTTCATTTAGACACATCAAGAATTTGGTGGTGGCAGAGGGCTATAAAGACCCTTTATCCACTTCTCTAACCCAGGCCCAGTAAGAAAGACACTGGTCATTGCCCGGGGACACCCACAATGGCTCTCCCAATTCTGACATAGCTGAAGCTATGGCATTTCAATAGCATAAGTGGCCACTCTAAGAGCGGTCCTTAGACCAAGAGCTTGTTAAAATGAAGGCTCTCAGGACTCACCCCAGAACTACTGAATTAGAAGCTGCACATACAAGATCCCCAGCTGACTCTGTGTGCACAATGAAGTGTGACAGGCATTGCTCTAAATGTAGGACAAGTTAAAATCCCTACACCATCATTTTTGCCAAGGCACCAATGCTTCAACATTCTTTGAACATAACCCCTTTCGCCTTAAAAACAATTTCGTAGATATGTTCCACAAACAAGGAATCCCCTCTGGGTCATGTTTCATTTTAAGAGGGGATGTTTAGCTTTGTTTATAAGATTCAGCTGGGGCCCTTCAAGAGCGACTGCATCCAAAAGGCACAAATAAGCAGCCTGAAGATTTACATAAACCCACTTTGATTCTATGACGCTTATTGATATTTGGAATGTCACTACTTTTGTCACTTGGAAAAATCCCAGGGTTTCAGTATTTTGTTTCTATCTTGCACCTTCCCTCCCTCTCTGATCCCCCCAAGAGAAAGTCAGCTCACTGATGTCCTCCACGTCCAATAGCAGTGGAGTGGCAGTCTGAGCACAGGACCCTGGAAGCGGCAGAGGAGCAGGGCTGACAGATGAGAGGCTGGAGGCTGGGTGGGAGGCCTGGGCACCACATCCATGGCTCCTTTGTTGCTGCATGACACTCACTGAGGCAACTTAACCTCAGTTCCTCACTTCTAAACCTCGGTTAAGAAAATTAAATGACAAAAACATCAAAACAACAGCAGCTAATCTACTGAAACACTACATAATAGGAGTCATATCCTCAGGGCAGATTTATGGGGGGTTAGAATAAACTATTAGGTGCCTGTTTTTTGTTTTTTGGTTTTTTTTGGTACTGGGGCTAGAACTCAGGACCTTGCACTTGCCAGGCAGATGTGGTGCCATTGAGCTAAATCCTCAGCCCTATCAGGTTTCTGTTTTACAGGGGAGGAAACTGAGGCAAAATCCCAGGACAAACAAGTAGCAGAGCTGGGACTGAGATGTAGGCACTGACCCGCCAGAGCTGGCCCTTTACCACTGTGTGGAGAAATGGCACTGTTTCTTTGCTCTGCAAACCATGAAATTCTCTAGATTATAACTTACTAGTTGTGCCACTCTTTCAAAAACGAAGTTTAAAAACTGGAAGTATTTGGCAAAAAAGCAAACATGGCTTCTCACTGGGGCAAAAGTAAGACTGCCAGGGCTCTCAAATGAATGGGAACATAATCCCAGAGCTGAAGCAAACAGCCAGCAATAGAGGTTTCATTTGCTGCAACAACACTTGTCAAGTTGTGCAAACCTTCCTGAAATAAATGCCTTGGGGTAAAGCTGGGACATTTCTCAAGGCTCTTCACCAGAAGGGGACTTGACTGCTGCTATTCAAAAGCCTAGGAATTATGGTCTGGAAAATTCTTTCTATTTTCCAGAGTGATAACAACTCTTCTGATTACTGATTACTGTACTAGCTAAAGCTTATACCGGAAAGAAATACGAATTCTCAAGGCTAAGTGTAGAAGACTGATTTTTCAGGCATATTCATTCACAGAAAATGTCTCTCAAACCAAACTCCCTTCTTACCTCCTTCACCACCTGGGCTGCTGATATCCACAAAGCTGGATCATGATCAGCTCTTCAACACCTCCTGCTGTCTCTGCAATCCCAAGCCAAGGAGACAACTAAGGCCACACATAGATGACCATTCACCAGACTCTGCCAGTGCCTCCACACCCCAGAATCTCAGAGTGTTCAAAGGTTTTTGAAGGGTAACTGGTCCAACATTGTCATTTCACAGAGATACTGAGGAAATATGGAAAAAGTCAGGACTTGAACCTACTGCTCTAATTCTGAGAGTAGTTTCTCCCTAACATATGCAAATCTCCCTTCTTTCATTTTTAAAACCCTTTTGTTTCCAGGAAAGGAGACACTAAGGTCAACAAGAGATTCACAAATAGTCAATGACACAAAACAGTTTTCTCACAGTCCCTTGTGAGCTCCAGTTCTACAACAGAAGCCTCCTGTCCCAACCACCTGAAGTCACTTTTATTTTTATCATACTCCTTTTAGAAGATGTCTTTCTGGAGAGAAAAAATAATAACTACATTAAAAAAAATTAAAAACAAGAATATTTTGTATTTACAATTGGGATTTAATCAAAGTCCCTGCCACAGTCTACAGAGCTCTATGTCCTGACTCCCTTCTTGGCCTCTCTCTCTCACCGTTCCTGTTCACTTGCTCCAGTTCACTGACTACTAGAAAGTTCTTGAGGCCATCGAAAACCCTTCTACCTCAGGGCCTTTCCTTGCTCCTCCTTCCACCCCAGATCTATTCCTCCAGAAGGGTGTGTGGCTAGTACCCCACTTCATTCAGAGATCTGCCCAGAGAGCCCCTCCCTCCACAGGCTCAGGCAAAGTAGCTCCTGCCCTCTTCCACTGCCATAAGTGTGCACAATCATTACACTAAAGAGCCACCTGCTTGTTGCCTGTCTGCCCCATTAGACTGTGTAGCCCATGATGCTGAGACATTGACTTCAACTTTCTTATCACAGAGGCGTGATTTTTTTCAGGTAATAGAAATCTTTAGTGTTGACTTTGCCTTTTTATTTTTTGAGGTACTGGGGATCGAACTCAGGACCTTGCACTTGCAAAGCAGGCCAGGTGCCACTGAGCTAAATCCCCGGCCCTGCCTTTTTTATTATAAAGATTTTAAGTTTCTCCAGGTCAAGGAACACCCATAAAATGGCATAACTGTACATTTTTCTCAGGTTGTAACATATGTTCCTGAGAGAGAAACTGTGTCCTTTAGGCTGAGCTCAATTTTGCTTGCTGGAGGAATTGTACAATGGATTCTGCAGCACAGCCTGGAACCTGCAGTATCAGCGTCATCTGAGAACCTGCTAGTAATGCAAGTTCTTGGATTCCTACTCAGATTCCAGGGCTGGAGCCCAGCAAGCCTCCATATGATTCTGATGCACATTCCATTTTTAGAGTCACTGATATAGCAAAAGGAACCATGAAATAAAAATCAGTAGCCCTTGGTCTAAGCTCTACCATCCCTCCAGCATCTTATATTAAAAGCTTTACCATGGACAACTACAAGGAAGTAGACAGAGTAGATATTGAAGACTGAAAAGCTAAGAAGAGGGAATTCTTACAATATTACAGTCTTCCAGGAAAGTCATTCAAATTCACTGGTCTCATTCACTCATCTATCTGGTCTATATGCTCACAAAAGCCTTTTTCACCTCAAGTCTATGATTCCAATCCATCCTACCATTTGTTTTATGGCACATATTTGTTAAAACATCTAAATTCTACCCCACTGATCTGAAATGAGAGTGGGCCCATACCAAACATTTCACTAGGACAATCCTATCAATAAGATTAAAATGTCTAGTTTCCCATTTCAAATTATAACCTGAAGGTAGGGAAAGCAGTCCTATCTAATAGATTCTAGTTACCAGCCTCCCAAACTAAACTCCACTCTGCCAGTGGTTATTAGCCCCACTGCCCCAGAGTAGGACCCTCCAGCAGACAAGTGCCACTGCCCACTGACTTTCAGCAATTTCCAACGCAGCTACAAGAGCAACCCTGCCCACTTCTTTCAACAGGAACCAGCAGCATGGTTTGAGAAAGGGAAACATGTTGCCTTTCCCTGCTAAACAGGTATAGTACATTGTGACGGGTATAAAAAATGAAGGTTATAAAAAGAGAATTATTGTCCTTTCAGTGCCCAGGATATTCGAATTAACAGTCTTAGCAGTACTTCTGGATATACGTACACTCTTATGGGGACAGGATGGTAAGTAGAGAGAAGAGATGAAAGATTATGTATACAATGGCTAAGAAATCCTACATTTAACTTGACCATTAGCTTTTTTCTTTCAGGACTGTTTAATTTTATAATTGTGCTCTGGAAATAGCACTTAGGCGTTTTGAAATTTCCATTAGGACAAATGACTTGTATGTTGCATTCAAGGATACACCCCTACACTCCCACTCCTAGAACTTAGAACAGGTGATTTGTATTAATTCCTGACCCTTTCTGAGCCACACTTCCTTCTTCATAAATTTACCTCAGAGTGGCTGAGAGCATCAGATGAAAAATACACATGTAAGAGAAAGTAACAAAATCTCTGAAAGGAGTGAACAGATGAACTGTTGAATTGCTGACACCAGTAAAAGCCAGTATGATAAGAAACAATTCTTTGCTTATTAATTAAGGAAGGTAGGGCTGGGGATTTAGCTCAGCGGTTTCACTGCCTGCTGCGCAAGCACAAGGACCAGAGTTCGATCCCCGGTACCAAAAAAAAAAAAGAAAGGTTAGTTGGAAAGCTGGGGAGTGTAGTTCAGTGGTATAGCACTGGCCTAGTGTACATCAGGCCCTGGGTTCAATTCTTAATACAGAAAGAAAGGAGGAGGGGGGAGGAGGGAGGGAGAGAAGGAAGAAGGGAGGGATAACCTTGATAAGAGATAAACACTTAGGTAACTAAGACTCCTCCTTTCTTAGGTGGCTCAGAGAGGTGGTGGAAATGGATCACCCACTTTGGAAGTTAGCAAAGAGTTCATGAAAGAGGTGGTAAAACAGGGTCCTGCATGATACACAAAACTCAGTGGTATGGGTGGTGGTGGCCATTTGGAAGATAAGAGCTAAGGTGAAAAAACAAGAGGGCTTGGAGCATGCTAGTGATCCTACTGGACTCGACCCCTGAACCTCCCGGTTGCTGCTCAGCATGAGAACTGCCTGCTCCAGCATGCCCACGCATGCAAGTGATTGAGGGCAGGTCACTGCCTGTGTGCTCTGAGAGCCAAACCCAGCCTCCTGCTCTGCTCTCTCTATCACAGTCAACCACATTTCCCAGGCTCTCGTGACCTTTGCATTGGGGCAGGTCCAGTTGGTGGCAGGCACCACCAGATGGCCAGGGGGAGGAGCAAGCCAGAGAGCTTCAACCCTGAGCAACAATTACCCATGTAAGTGTTGAAAATCCTTCATTCTCAATAGACTTACTCCAACTTTGAAAGCAACTTTAAAATAAAAACCCTGTGATTCTATGAATGTTATCATCAATGTAGTTACTGATTTCCTTATCCCTTCTCATCAACTGTCACCCCTACTGTGGTTATATGCTTCCTTCTACAGCACAATTTTGCAACAACACATGTTCGGCTTTCACGTATAACCTGGTTTCCCTTTTAAAACCTCAGGAATTATGCTACCTTAACATAATTTATTTTAAGACAAAAATCTACCTTTCCTTTAAATTTTGTTTTGCCCACAAACATTATATACACAAGTGTTTGTATATGTTTATGTGTGTGCATGCTAGAAAACAATTATTCTGGGCTCTAGAAACTGTCTTCAGCCCACCTGTAATCTATGGCAATGTAGGGAGCCTGGGATAGGAAACAGAGCTCTCACTGTGGAGTGTGCTGCTCCATGGTTTTCAGTGTGGACTGACCATTAAAATCACAGGCTCTGTGTTCAACAAGCCCTCTGCCCAGATTGTACTCTACACCAATTCAACCTGGAATCTCTGCGGGTAGAACATAGTCTTTTCCAAAATTGCTCAAGATGATTCTAGTGAAAGTCAAGTTGAGAACCAATGATGCAGTTTCAGATGGAGTCCTGCAGTTGGCTAAGATAAGCTCTTAGAGAAGGGAAGGAACAATGGCCATAGTATTACTGTTTTTCTTTTCAATGGGGGTTGGCCTCTATTCATCCTGTTATCTGCACCTACACTCTCTTCTTGCCCCAAGCCCATCCAAGTCCTACTGATTCCTTCATTCTTCAAGCCCCATCACATCATACCTTGGGTAGGAAGCATTTCTTAGCTGTTCTAGTGTCCTACCAGCACTTAGGTCCTAGACACCTTATGTCAGTATTTGTAAGTTAACCTTGAATTATTCAACATTTTCACTAGTCTTGCCTTTCTAGCTGAATGCTATGCATCCTGCAGATAAGGACCACAATTCCTCCTTCTTTGTATCTGCTTATATTACAGTTTGGAACATTTAAGACAGAAGTACTTACCAACCAGTAGATTATGAAGCACAAACATTTGGGCATATGGTATTTGCAAGGTATGAACAAGGTTTATGTTACCTTCAAAAACTTACGTGTCCCAAAGCACAGGGGATATAGCAATTGTACTGTATAATTTATCATTCTGTCAAATATCAGTGGGTCTAAATGAAAGACACAGGATGATTTTGCAAGGGGGATGGAGCTACCATTATTATGTAATGGTTCCACACAAATTAGTTTGGCAGCCATTTGTGAGAAGAACTAGAGAAATCTGATTAGGTGCCATGACTTGATTTCCAAGTCTGCCCTGCTGATATCTAGTATGGAATACATCCCTATTCTAAGAACACAAGAAGGCAGAATGCACAAGCCACCAAACACAGAAGCCTTTTATTATACTGATTTGCAGAGTTCAAGGAGTACCTCCCCCACTTTACACAGTGTTTAAAAGTCCCACAGAATCATCTAAAAATACTTTTACAAGTCCTTGTTTTCAGAGCCAAAAAGACCAGGTTTCTGATATGTGAACTGCATGAATGCACATAAGGCCTATCCAACACATGTCCTGGTCCTAGTAGGTATTTGTTCAAATATTACAGTCCCAGCAGTGATTTTATTTAGTCTGGCTGTTCCGAAGACAAACACACATAACTTTAATTAAAGACACATCCAAATGTAGGGGAAACCATCTTGAAACAATTAGTCTTTTCTACGTAAGAGGTTTCGGGGCACTGACATCCTCACCATCTCCCATGGAAAGAGACCAGATGGGGCAGAGGCAAGCCAAGCCCCCTCCATAAACACAGTCTGGAGCTATAACTCTGCTCTACTCTATTTTATTCTCTTCTGACCAAGACATCACCTTCTTTTTACTCTTTCCTAAACAAATGCCAGTCATTTGATTTTTACTTTTTTTTATTAACCTCTCTTTCATCACTGTTAGGGAAAGAAACATTTCTAACATGTTTTCATATCTTTTCTCTGAAAGAAAATATTCCAGGAAGAAAATGAAAAGCCTAAGGAATTACCAAACTACCCATCTGGTTATTGACCTTAGGCTTCGGGAGGATGTGTGAGAGGTGGCTGCCTTTGCTGCCTCATTCTTGAGACTTCTGTAGGTAGTAGACTGAAAGTTTCTCTAAACTGCTAGAAAAGCTGGGGTGCAGATTGTGACATTCATCAGAATAGTTCTTTCCCCCCTGAAAGAATAGTTCTTTCCCTCTGAGTACCCAGTTAATTTACTCCTAGGTAATTTACCCATCAGCAGAAGTGAGTGTTTTCTCCGTAAGAGCCACACTGAAGGGCCGGGGATTTAGCTCAGTGGTTTTGTCGCCTCCTGTGCAAGTGCAAGGACCCAAGTTTGATCCCCGGTACCAAAAAAAAGAGCCACACTGAAAAGTCACTTCCATAAATATCCCCCCAAAAACATACATATATATGACGTGTTATATGACCCTTGTCCTCAAGTAGCCACTCTGTTTTTTCTTTTGAGATTTGAATCTGGGAACAAAGGCATTTCTTAAGTGAAGAGCTGTTGTTCCTTTTCTTTCTTTCTTTCTTTCTTTCTTTCTTTCTTTCTTTCTTTCTTTCTTTCTTTTTTTCTTTCCTTCCTTCCTTTCTTTTTTTTTTGGGGGGGGGTACCAGGGATCGAACTCAGGACCTTATGCTTGCAAGTGTTCCTGTTCTTTCAATACCATAGAATACAACTGAACATAGATCCTGGGCCAATGTGTGGCCATTCTTACCTGACAACAAACAGAAACAGGCACCCCACTTCTGGAAGAAGGAAGAAAATAGGGCAGAAAATGTTTAGGCCAGGGTAGGGCCACAGGAACAATGCTGACAGGCAACTGTGGATGCCCAGCTGAGGTACAAAATGGCTTAGCACAGAAACTCTACAGAAAATAGGCCTCCAGCCTAATTTTGATATGGAACTATATAAAATGAAGGGTCATTTCTTTTAAGGAGTAAGCAGAAAATGAGGGTAACCACTGTGAAGGACCTAATTTTCTTTAGAGAGTAATGGAAAAACATCTCTTTTGTGTTCACAAACAAATGCCACCTATGCACCCTCAGGGAGCTGGTCTAGCTAAGAGTTCTAACAGAGGGGCTGAAGGCCAGCACTGCTCTATCATAGCTATATAGCTACTTCCGGGACATGATCAGTTCTTGTGCTACCAAGCCAAAGGTACCGGGGAAGTACAGGAACAACGGAAAAGTCTCTACAGCTTAGGCAAAACCCTTAAATGTGCTCTCAGGCAAGGATGCACCAATTAAGCTAAACCTCAGAGCCAAAGTGTAGACTTTCAAAGGCAAGAAGGCTTCGGCCAAGGGAGCAATACCACTTGGGGCTCATTTACAATAGAATCCTCAATTTTGCATTTTTTTTGATCCTGAAGGGATAAGGAATATGGTTTCCAGCCCCATACCACCCCCTCATTCTGAATACTCAGACCATTGTATTTGAATCAAAATATAAACCCAGGACAGACTGAATTCTGAGGTACTTTTAAAAGTTCAATTTTTACAGTTACTAGTTAATAACTTTCATCTTCAAAAGGAATATCTCAAGCAGAAAAATTAAGTGTTGACAGATGACTACTTATGGAAAAATACTATACTGGAAAAATAATTTCCTCCTTTCTTCCTTTTTCATTAGGTCTCTTTAACTTTCCACATATGTGTCACGGAAGAAAAAAATAGCTGACTTGCAAGTGCACAAACAGAAGTGTGAGAGCTGTTTCTAGAGTGAGCTCATGGACAGCTGTGATACGTGGACCTTTGATGTAGTATCTGAAAGATGGAGGTGGTGATTCCTATGTGACCACGTGCATTTTTAGCATCCATAAAGCAGAATGAATATTGGCACATGCTACAATGTGGATGGACCCAAAAAACACACTAAGAAAAAGAAGCCAGAAACAAAAGGCCAATATTTTATGATTCCATTTACACAAAATATCCAGAATAGGCAAATCCACAGAGATAGAAAGCAGATTAGTGGATGCCAGGTGTGTTAGTTACTTTATTCATTGCTGAGATAAAATACCTGACATCCAAAGTTAAAAGGGGGACAAGTTTATTTGGCTTACAGTTCATAGAAGTTTCAATGCATAATTGGCTGGCTCCAAGGCAGGGATGGAAAACAGCCATCGCAGAAGAGAAACAACATGGCGCACACAAGGTAGCAAAGGCAATAAAAGACCTTAACAGCTTCTTCCTGCCCTTTTTACCTTATTCAGACTACCAGGATTAGGGCGGTACTAAACCCATCACTCACATGCCCTTAATCCCAGCATCATACACTCTACATTCAGCAACCTCCAAAATAGCCTATGACCACATGAGGCTATAAGGGGAAATCTAGACACAAACCATAACACCAGGCTGAGGGGGACTGCCTAATGGTTTCCTTTTTGGGGTGACTGCAAAGATCTGGAACTATACAGTAATAATGCTTGTAACCACATTATGAATGTACTTAATGCCACTGAATTAAAAACTTTAAAAAAATCATTAAAGTGGTAAATTTTATGTTATGTGAATTTTACCACAATAAACAAGAGAGAACAGAAAACAGTAGTCTACCCATCTATTCTTCACATAATAAATGTTCAGACATACAAGCTTAAATACCACATGGTTTTTCTTATATGAAAAACTTATAAAAGATAACTTAGATAGATAACAGGAAAAAATAAAGAGGGGAAAATATTATAATCCAGCATGGACAATGTATCTAAAAGTGTACCTTGACTTAGTATAATTGTCTTACATGTTTTATATGTTCTTTGGCCTATTAGTCTGGTTTTTAATCTGTAAATATGATAATGAACTTTATAAAGTCTTATAAGATAAGTAATAAATCTGATGCTGGAAAAGTAAACTGAGGGTAGAGGGAAGGGAAAAATAAATATGTATAAAAAGTACACATTTGTTAAGGTGGTCACAAGTGTGGCTAAGCTGCTCATCTAAATTTTCTATCTTCTTGTAGTATTATCCTCTACAAAACTATTGTAAACACTTCCTATATTTTCTCTTTCCCTGGGGTGACTGTAAATGGTTGTCTTCTATGGACACCTGCAAAGCTAGACTGGGGGCAAATAGGTAGTAAGAAGGCTACACAGTGGTACACAAAGTAGACCAAAAATCTCCAGACCAAAGAATATGATTATGGGGCCTTTCCCTAGAACAAGCAATTCCAAACATCATGAAGACTCTGATATCATCTAGGCATCAGTATTTCTTAAGGACCCTACATAATTGTAATGCACATGCTCCCAGGATCAAGAACCACTAACCTAGGATGAGAAGAGAAGGGAACTGGCTTTATCAACTTCCTCCTGTGAGCTGGGAACTGTGCCAGCTCTTTCACTATAGTAACTAAAACGTTATGTGCTGCAAATCCTCTGGGACCTTTTGTGGCCATGAGTACTGAGGCCCCCAAGAGCAGCACTCAACCTCTGAGGAGCAGGAGTCCCAGTACCTCACTTTCCTTACTCTCTGGGTAGGATGACTCTGAAACATGCTCTAAACTTAAGCAAAGCAAAGGTTTTATGTAAAGGCCCAAGTAACAAATATTTTAGGCTTTTTGGGGAGGTACTTGGGATTAAACTCAGGACCTTGCACTTGCCAGGCAGGAGCGGCACCACTAAGCAACATCCTCGGCCCTGTGTTTTGGGCTTTGTGAGCCATGTGGTCTCTGTTGTAACCACTCAATTCTGTCTTTGTAGTGTGGGAGTAACCAATGGACAATGCTTAAATGACACACCAATCACAGTTCTTCAGCTCCTGCTCTAAGTCTAACAGATTCCCTGAAGCCCTCATCAGTAAGTCACCCCAGTTGCCCATGGTAGGAAGCAGTCAATACAAATCCTACATATAGGCTTCTGTCTTCCCCGTGCTCTCTAGGATCTCTGGTAACAGAAATATTGGTACTCAAATCCTTGTCTCACAGCCTGTTTCTGGGGAGAGTCAACCTCTGTCAGTATCTTGTTTGTTACACACAACTACCCTAGCAATGAAATAATATCATCTCTGTCTGCCAGTAAAGAAAGTGAGGTTTGGGCTAGGGATTTAGTTCAGTGGTTCCACCGCCTGCCTCGCAAACACAAGGTCCCAAGTTCGAACCCTGGTACAAAAGCAAAACAAAACAAAACAAAAGAAAATGAGGGCCAAGAGTTATACAACTCATAAGTGGTAAGGTCTACATGAACAGTCTACCTGGCTCCAAAGTCACTGATCTCTTTATAACAGAGATCGCCAACATGTTTAACACCAGGGACCACTTCAACGGAAGACAATTTTTCCACACACTAGGAGGGGAGTTACAGTTTCAGGATGATTCAAAGGAGCCTAGAACCAAGATCCCTGACACGCACAGGGGAGGCTTTATCAGGTAGGGTTCATAGTCCTATGAGAATCCAATGCTGTGATCTGGCAGGAGGTGAAACTCAGGTGGTAATGGGAGAGATGGGGAGCAGCTGTAAATACAGGTGACGTTTCATTTGCACACCCATCGCTCACCTCCTGCTGTATGGCAAGTTCCTAACAGGCTATGTACCTGTACCAGTCCAGGGGCCAGGGGTTGGGAAACGCTGCTCTATAATACTTCCAGGGTAAGGATGGACACAGACACCTAAATACACACACACACACACACACACACACACAAATATGCACATATATAGTTTTAATTATGATAAGAGTATTATGTATGACAAACCATGAAGCAAAATCATATTACAGTCCTCGTGTAATTACCTATCAATGTTAAAGAAGGTGGTTAAATACATTATAATAGTAAGGCTTGAGGGTAATGGAAAAAAAATGTTTTTCTCTTTTATGCTGTTTCTTTTTTTCCCCCGTGGTACCAGGGATCAAACTCAGGACCTTGTGCTTGCAAGGCAGGTGTGGCGCCACTGAGCTAAATCCCAGGCCCTTATGCTGTTTCTTATCTAGGATAGAATTCATTTCCCAATTATCAGACTGGCTGTAATCTTGGTGCTTGTTGTTCTCTGGTGAAATCTTTGGTCATATCTGAGAACAAATAGAGCCACTCAGGTAAAAGCTCAATGTGGAATTTGGAATTGGAAAGGACAGGAACCAAATTAAAACATCCTCATGCACATTTGAACATGGTAGTGGGAGGAGAAGCACCTGTAATTTCACAAAGACCCCATAAAGCACTTGAAAAACTCCCCAATGGATGTTAAGGATTCCAGAAAACACTCTAAGAACCCAGAAGGAGAAGACAGAGGAAGCAGGGCTTGCAGCTTACGCGGTCTTGCCCTCGCTGTCCTGCTTGGTGGCGCTGGCCCCCTTCTTGCCCAGCAGCGAGGCCACCTTTTCCACATCGCCATTCTCCACGGCCTGCAGCAGGCGGTCATCATTCTTGTTCCACTCATTGGTCTGTGGGGCAGAGGGGAGAGGCAGACGGTGAACAACACTGGCCAGGCCATGCTGACTGGCAGGACCTCAGCCCTCCCAGATTAAATCAAAACACGCCACAAATGGGCAGTTTTAAAGTACCTTCCCCTTCACCATGGGAATACCCAAGAAGGTTGGTTTCCCAAAAGAAAACATCAACAGTTCATTGAAATATCCGTTGTCACCCAACTCTGAGATAAAAATCACTCCTTTTAACTATGCTTGGGAAGATGAAGCAGCTTAGAAAGACCTCGAGGCCAGTTTACACATTAGCTAGTTTCTTGCTAAACTTGACAGCTGGCTCCTGAGAACACTGATCTTTGACCTGGTCTATAGCTCACTCAAGTGCCCTGTGTTACAGAACCAAACTGACCAACAGTTCAAGATTACCCAGAAGTTTAAATACACATAATTCTTCTGCTGCTTTTACAGGCACTTTTTCTGGCTTGCTTCTTGGGCCCTGATTTTTGAGCTGGATGTGGATTTTAAGTAGTTGTCCAGGCTATGCACTCAACAAAGTATAGCCAGAGACAGAGGTTCTTCCTAAGAACTTTTAAACTTTTTAAACATCAAACAGCTTTGAACAAAACCTTAACCACCATCATCTCCCAACCCCACAGAATAATTCTGCAAACCACAGTAACTGTAAAGCTTTCATATACACAAAAACCAGCTTTCACTCTTAGAAGAGAAGCAGATGATCTCTACATAGGAGGAAAGGAGACTTGACCACAAGACCAAGGCATTTCAAATGTGAAAAGGCAAAAGTGAGCCACTGAAGTTTGTGGACCGGAAGATGAGAAAATAGAATCAGGGATTGAGGACCTGGGAGGTACAGAAAGCATATAGGACTAAAGATGGGAGAGAGGAGGAAGAAAAGATGCTGGGTACAGCAAAGCCACTCCAGAACTCCACAGGCCCAGGCTGTGCTCCTGTCTCCTCTGCAGCAGGCCCTGAGCTATGCCTACATTCTGGCTCTTTCTCCCTAGGACACCATTAACCTGCGAGAGACACCTCTTCTCATTCCAAAGGCTTGGTGCACAGGTCTCCAGAGCTCCCTCTTTCCTTCCAGCCATTTCACACGAAATGGATCATGGGAGTGCTACAGTTGACTATGAGAAAGCAGAGAGAGGGATATTCAAGATTGAAAAACTGCAAAGTAGGGATTTCACAAGATTACAGCCTTCCCCAGCCCCAGAAGTGTGTTCTCAATTTCTGTGCTGATGGAACCAGTTGACCCACTGCAACTCCATCTTCCCACACAGCAAAGGTGGGCCCTAGTCATGTTCCAACCCTAGCCTAGAAAAAGGGCTTTAGAGAAAGCCTTGGGTCATGAAAGGGTAAAGTAGAGGTGCCCAGAATCGGCTTCTCTGAGTCTCAGGACGGGAACATTTGCATTACTCAGTACTCCCTCCTCCTCCACGGCCACTGCACTGCGTGCAAGAACATAGTAAGAAGGAGAAGGTTGGAGGGAAAATCAGCACTTTGCCCTCTAGGATTGATGAACTTGAAGTTCAGAACTCTAGACTGATTCTGTATGACTTTAAGCCACCCATAACCTCTCCGTGCCTCAGTTTCCCAAGGCTTTGGATTGGATGCCCAGTATGATTCCTCCAAAGCTCAGACTTTTCCATAAAATTTCTCAAACTGAGTTTTGTTAGAGATTATTCTAAAATAGTACTATCTGTGTGTCTTATCCACTTTTCCTGTTGCTGGGATAAAATGCTCTACACTCACAGCTTAAAGAAGGAGAGATTTATTTTGGCTCACAGTTTCAGTCCACGGTGGGAACACTTATATACAGACAAGGCACAATAGAAGGGCCTGCCATGGGGGAAAGCTGCTCATATCACAGTGGCCAGGAAGCAGAGAGTGAAGGGAAGAAGCAGGGAGGGAGATACACCCTTCCATATCATGCTTCCAGTGACTCGACTCTAACCAAGCCCCAACTCCTAATTCAACTGTGCTGGCCCCATGATCCAATCACCTTCCAAATGCCCTACCTCTGGGCATCAGAATGTCCCAGGAGGCCTCTAGGGGACATTCTAGATCTAAACCACTGTCTAATATTGTACCTACAGAGCCACTGATCCTCAATCAGGAGTGGTGCTGCCCCTGAGGGTACATTTGCCAATCTTTAGGGACATTTTTTATTGCTACCTATATTCTCCTAAAAGGGAAAAAGTATTGTCTTTTAAAATCCTTTTCTAATCTAAACTGACCAAATTAAAACTGGATTAAGGATTGAAAAGATCAAAAGGATATTAAATCTTAGCAGACAGGACTGAAAGCACTTAGGCAACAGAGACCACATGAAAGGATTTTCCTCTTTAGTGGTGCTAAGGCACTCACTCTTAAGTAGAGAAAAAATCTGATTGCAGGATTTTTTAAAAAATCAGTTCCATGTGGATCTTTAGGGAGTTCAATCTCTACAGGACATAGCAGAAAAGTTTCCCTCCCTTGCTCTTCAAAGAGGAAGATCAATGGCACATTCTTTAAGGGTCTGAAATCCCTGTTTTTTGTTTTTTTTTTTAATCTATAGTCTTCCCTGCAAGAAGGTTGGAAACTACTTTTCTCTTGGAGCAGACCAGGTAAAAAGAACATTTCTCACAAGTTTCTCACAAGCAAATATTAAATGAATAATCCACAACACCTCTCAACCTGTAAGTGCTGAAGAGAAGGCTCATGGTGAGCAGCAAGAGAGAAAAAGATAGGTGCACAATACAATGGGGGCCTTAGAGTTTGAACAGTTCAAAACAAACTGAAAAAGGCACAGGCAAAACTGAAGAAGAGAAGGGAAGGTAGATCATTAGCTGAGAAAGATGCAAAGAAGGTAGGCATTTTAGTTAAAATTGTCACAAGTACACTCAAAGTGGAAGTCAATAAATGTCCCATTTAGACCTCTGATCCAGGAATTGGATTTTGAACAGTGTCTTCCAGGTTGAAAGGCCATTTCTTAGACTTCTGGCCAGCACTAGCAGTGAGTGAAGCTATGCTGCCAGAGGTCTGTAATCCTGGACCATGCCACTGGTTACACATGCAGTTGGCTCTGATATGCACAACTGGCCATATCACAGTCCTTCCAGAAGCATGGATATCCAGGTGCCATCAATTTTTCTCTCCTGAACTTGCTCGTGGAACTATTCCTGACATCCTCTCCCTATTCCATACAGTGAGATATTCCATACCAAAAGCCCCATGGTATTTAAGAAGTGTTCTCAAGGCCATTGGTCTTGAAAATCCAGAAGCAAATTCCTCTTCTCCACACCCATCCCTCTGCTGAGAGGTACTAAACTGAAATCAAGCATTGAAAAAAATCTCAAGAAATCATCTTGGTCGATCTACTGGCCAAAGGTAGGGTTGGGTAGATAAAGATGAAATTGGCAATTTTGTTATAACATTTCAAATACCTTCATCATATCCCAGAATCAAGGAAATTATCTAAAAACCACCATCACCCCTCACCAGTTCCTGTGAAAATCCTCTCCTGTAATTAGTGCTCCCCACAAAGGACACATACCACCTACAATGGTCACCTTTTCAACCTATTAATGCATTAATCAGATATATATGAAAAAATGAAAGAGAAAAAATATAAAACATCAGACACAATACACTTATTAAAGTTAAATGTCTTATGAAACTTTTGTATACTTGGCCTTGATATAAACACTTATCTTACTGGAGAATCACAATAAAAAACATTAGAAGTCACCTCTTTAGAATGCTGTCATCCCACTGCCTATGCTCAGGCTAATTTCTAAAGCCCGCTCAAGGTTTTCAGGTCTTTCCCAATGACCTCTCTCTGCTTCTCTATTCCATGGTGTCCCCGAGGGCCCACCTATTCAGCCCCACTGAAGCCCACAGTCTAGACTTGATGAAATATTGCATCCTGGCTTTTGTTCAGGAGCTTCCTGTGCTCGTTTTGTCTCCTGTCTTCAGCTCCCTGAAGGTACTGACAATAATCTTTATCCCTTCCTCCTCACTGTGTCTAGAAAATGCATTTGCCTCAGATTTTACCAGGAGGTTTTTCTCTTTTGATCAACCTAAATCTCTTCTGAATTAATAAATACTATCATGGACAAAACTTGTTCATTCTTTTGCAAATAATTATTAAATCAAATTTCAGATTTTTAAAAACTTTATAAGCTAAATAAATCTAGCTCCTTTAACTTTTCCACAGAGGCCAACTTTTCAAGATTTTAATCATATGTATACTTTCTGCAAATTTCTTCATGACAAAGGAGCCAAGCTTCACTCATACATTCAAAGAGGGAGAAACCAATGTTTCCCAGTCATGAGACCCTCCTGGGTGCTGGTTAATTCTGTTGACTCCTGCTCTATCCTAGAAGTTCTGACCCGATGACCTGGGACAGACCCTGGAATCTATCAGTTTCAGCAAGTGCTCTCACTGATTCTTACTGCAGCTTGGGGACAATTGGAACCTATGCTAAGGCTATCAGAAAATTGACTTGAAAGGGTTTGCTTTTCCACAGAGCCTTCTTAGGAAGATGATGAAAGAAAAGAAGAATCCTCCGCCTTTTCCTTACAAAACTAGGTATGTCTTCCACAAATGTTTGATAAATATTAGGCTTTCCTAGGAGTTGTATGGGCAACCCATGTGTAAGACACATATAAGAATGTTAACAGCATTGTTTGTAAGAGGCAAAAATTACAAATATCCAATAACAAATATCCAGTAACAGAAGAAGCATGAACAGATTATAAGATAGTCAAATGACGGGATACCAACAGCTATGAAAATGAACAAATTACAATTAAGTGTAACAACATGGATAGATATTAACAATATTGTTTTGTTTTGGTTTTTTTTGGTACCAGGGATCGAACTTGGGTCCTTGTGGTTGCAAGGCAGGCGGCAGAACCACTGAGCTAAATCCCTGGCCAACAATATTGTTGAAAGAAGCAAGACACATGTGGACACACACATGCACACACAGTGCTGGAGCCAGAACCCAGGC